TCCTGCATAACACACGATATTTTTTGCTTGATCGTTCACGCTTATATTTAGAAAACCTATAGAAAAAACTTTAAGTACTTCACTTACGATATAAAAGAACAACCCGATGAAGTTTTGGAAAATTCAGCGTTGCCTGAGTTATTTGGTACGAAGAAAGATAAGTCGACTATAGAATTTAGACAGCACATAGCTTAGAATTGATCTATTAAATATATTTATAAATTATAAAAATTTACTATTTACAAAGTCCTCATTAAATCCCTTTGGACTTATGGAATCGAACTATGGGGAACAGCAAAGAAATCAAATATAAAAATCATTCAATCATTCCAGCCAAAGGTACTTCGGAAAATTGTGTAGATTTTATGTTCCAAACATCACGTTACACACTGACCTTAACACTCCTTTCATCACGGCAACTGCCACTGACCGCATTAATAATTTTCATGACAGACTGACTCTAAATTCAAATCCACTAACTCAAGCTCTATCGACTGCTACAAATTCATATAATCCGCCCATAAGACTGCTGGCCAAGAGATTTATTAAGTAGGCATTGAGCTACTTGCTGTATTATCTTTTTTGTATGTTATTATTTGTTATTTTACTACTGTCTTTTTTTTCTTATTACTATTCTTCTTTTTTTTATGCTATCATTTATTTTCCTTGATATCATATTTGCTAAACACCGAGGTAGATGGCAAATTTATTGTGAGCCAGGAATATGTGTAACTAATAAAATGATTATATTCTATATGCTGTATGCATTGCTATACTCTTTCCAACATTAATTACCATACCCTTTCACTCCAGTTCAGCCATCTGTTGGGTTACATCTCCTGTCGATTTTCCTTTGAGTCTGAAATAATAGCAATATTGTCTGCAAAGCTCATCATTTGTGTTATCCTTATGTAACACTCGTCTAACAACGTTTCGCCGTTTACATCTCTTCAAAATTTCATCCATAATGTAATGAACAGTAAGGAATGAACATATATGTACAGGATGATAACGTCCCTTTTTTTGTTTTGTTTTTCGTATGCCGACGAAGCAAAGAAATGAAAAAATATACACAATTAGTAGTTGCTTTAATTTAGAGAATTAATATCCTTAGACTTGTGTATTTCTCTTTTGTAATCATTATCCCATACACACTCTGGCGATAAAGGCAGATTCATCACTGTTCTACTGGATGGTTAGTGTTTCCCAAAATCGGTCTTTGTCTTTCACTTTGCAAGACCAGACCAAGGCCGCCGTACTATTGCAAGACCAATACCAGGACTGGTAAAAAAAAAATCGATTTTTTAAATAAAAACTAAGGCAAATTGGTTACTAATACTTGACAATCTTAGGTACTATATGTAAATAATTGGTATAACCAATATACTTTTGCATTTAACTTCTCTAATTATTCATTCGGGCTTAGTCAAGTTTCTCTTATCTAAAAAGTTACAGTAATATTTTTACAGTAATAAGCTAATAAGTCGCAAGACTGTTGTGAGACTCTTGCGTAAGACCAAGACCATGACCAAGACTGAGTTTGCAAGACCAAGACTCGTCTCGGTCTCGTATTTGGGCAACTCTAATTACAATTACTACCATAATACCTGTAAGCGAATTCTTTAATTAGTAAATGTTTATAATTATGAGTCCAAGTAAGACGTGCGCATCATCTAACATATCCTACTATCGTATAAAAACTAGCTCCGTTGAAACTAGAAAAAAAAATTGTTTTCTTTTTTAATGGCCCATTTTAAATGCTTGATCAATTTTTCAATTGTATAAAAATACTTTATTTATATTTCTACATAACATGTTCATGGGCCAAAGGACTGATTTTAACAGCACAGATGTTCGGTTGGTCTCTCCTTATACGGCTGTTAAATCACTTTCTTCAGCCCGTCTTAAGACTAAATGTCACGCACTTTGACAATGGAATTATATTTAAGCTATCCATACGGGTGGGTCTGTACATGAACTTCACAAAACTTTTTTTTAAATTTATTGTATCCCCATTATTAAAACATTTTAGATGCTTATTTTACCTTTTGAAGTTATTTTTTGTTTTTCTTATATATTTTTTTTTCTTTATGGTATTTAATTTTGTTCTTATTTTTATATTTTGTATATCTATTAATTAATTTAGTTAATAATATTTTCTGTAAACATGGTATGATTGTACTCTCTGATCAATATTATAATTATCCTTAATTGAGACAGTATATAATATTTCTCAATAAATATTTGAAAAAAAAATTTAACAATCATTTATGTCAAATATCACGTCCTTCTTATACTCCCTTAACAATATATTACACAAATTATCTTAATATATATCGCAGCTCCGTTTTAGTTATATTAAATTGTTTAAAATTAATAAAATAAAAATATGGTATTTTTCTTACTTTAATAAACATGATAACACGAACATGATAAATTTACATTATAGTTGATATGACTGTATGTTAATCGATAATTTAATTTTTTTTTTTTTATTTAA